ATATTTTCCGAAGATTCCTCGGAGGAGAGCCGCGTCGGGGCCTACACAGCTCGTACTCCTGCGGCTGTGAGCGGCTGAGAGAGACGATGAAAAAAAAAGTTGGTTGTGTTATCAGACTTCGTTTTCACTGGTTCCCGACACATTTTCCAGATGACTGTGGTTTGTTTTCGGTCCGACTTGCATTGACAGTGGGTGAATTTTAGACCTTTTGAAGAGGTAGATTAGATTTGGTAGAAAAGATTGATTTCACAACTAAGACTCAGTCAATCTCTGATCTCACAAAATTAGGGAAATCGATGGCGATAGATCAGCCGGTCAGGCAATCAGTGCACCCCTATGCAGGACTAATGTTGCCTCTGCAAATATGGTTTAAAATCACAAGAAGTCTTCGTTTTTTTTTTTTTTTTTTTTTTTTAATTCAGTTAAGTCTTTGAAACGTAAATACCAAACCCGTCTTTTCATTTTTTATTTTTTTTTGCCCGTTATGTTAATCTGTCTTTTTTTTATGTTGGGCATTTATCGCCTGTTTTTTGTTCTTTTTTTGTTCCTCTTCTCTTTGTCATTATCAGTGACTTTGCATTGCATCAGTTTCTGTTCCCAGAGCTGTAATGGGAAGTAAATCTCACCTATGTTGGCGCTTTGACAGGCAGCTGCTGATTCTAGTCTTTTTCTTGCAACAGTTGATTGAAATTGCATGCCCCAGACGTCCCCCTGGACAAAGGGAATGGGTTCAAAGTCACTTTGTAGGAGGAAAGTTCTTCCTCTACAGACTGACTCATCCACAGTTTAACCACAGTCTTTATTAAGAGACATATGCTGGCTTTAGATAATGACGTTCTATCTGTTGTCTGTCGCTGGGAGAGAACAGAACAACAGGCTACAAACAAAGGAGTTAATTTCTCCAAATGGAGGCTATTCTGCTTTTTAACTCTTCCTCATTTTATGAGTCACTGGCTCCCCTCCCCCCTTGTCATTCCTGTCATTGGTACAGTCCATAAATAGACACCTGGCTGCAGTAGAGGAACCCATGCGGCAGAAAAAAATACCAAACAGAACAAGATGGATTTCTGAAAAATATGTCCGGCGGCAGAGAAGATGCAGAAGGAAAAATTATGTTTTGAAAGAACTTAGAAGCACTAGTAGTAAAAGAAAGGCAGGAGTTATTTTTGGTTACTTCTGTTGTACAAACCTCTAAATTAGTACTCTGTAGTATTTTCCCTTCGTTAATGTGAAAGTTGTGTTTTTCAGTTTGTACATGTGCGGAAAGGGAAAATATTCGTCAGAAGAGGTTAGCATTTAATGTCAGACTATATACTTGGGAGGAAAATTATAGAGGGACTTATGAGACATATACCGTGTGATTATCATATCTTTCAAATTAATATAAGTACTTTTAAAAACATTTTTTCCACTTCATGGAAGCACACTTTTTTTCCTAATGCTCCCTCTATGACTGCATCACCAGACACACCAAACATGGACTTGGTTTTTTAATCTATCCGCTGATTTAGCCTTGTGCTTATTACAGATCTCAGACAGGACACAGACACAATACAGCCTTGATGAACACAGATAGTTTATCCAAGACACAGACATGTTGCCCCTCTGCAGGAAACGCAGGTCTACTGGTCTTCTGATCAGTAACATTCAGTAACATTTTTGATTTCAACTCCTTTTCTTGTTCAATTATCTCGACTTTGAAACCCACCATCTGTAGCTTGTTTAAATTCAGCAAGATTAGATATTATATAAGTTGACAATAACATGTATCAAATTTTAATATTACGATACTTTATGTAAAAATCCCTTTTTTTTTGTTGAATCATGGTGTTAACACCACAAAATTATTACGTTTTTATATTTAAAGTAGAACAGTACCCACTATCTCATCAGCTGCTAAAAATATTTGTTTTTTATTATTACAGCTATGATGTAATGACGATTATTTGTGTCAAGTGTTCCGATCAGGCTTTTTAAAAGGACGCCCAGATCTGGCCTGTAGCAGACTTTGTCAAGACACCCTTGAATCACGTTCATATGTGGTCCTGATTCCGACTCATATCTGATCTTCTGGTACTTGGCTGCCATGTGACATATTAATAACGGATAGATGCTGTGAATGCGCTGGACATATGACTTAGACGCTACTTCCCATCAAACTTGTCAAAATTTTGTGCTGCCCAGCAGTGAACAGCAGCCATTGGTAAGAAAGAAGCTGAGATAGAAGTCCTGCAAAACTTATCTAAAACACACACGCTTCACACGCGTGTCTTTCGCCTCAGATGCGCTGCTCCTGCTGCTCGAAGCACGCTGCAGGACCTTTTGATGCAAACCATAGCCTTTGCATGTAAACCAGCCGCTTCTGCTTCTCGAATTGTGTGCGGTTGTAACGTAGAGCTCAACACAGGCCTAACTGAAAGGCTTACGGGAAACCATTAGGATATGGAAAGTGGTTTGCAATAGCTACGGCTACTTTATTACGGCTTTTGGAGGAGCAGTGGGTGCGACATCTCTGAGGAGAAATGTGTGGGTGTTACCCTTCAAGTTTCTTTTAGATCGTTGTATCCAACCAAATACTGATTTTTTATTTTATTTTTGTCCCTCAAATGTAGACCGCTGTCTATGCTGTCCTCCATGATTGTTGTAATTGTTTTTTTTTTTTCTGTGCCGTCAGTACCTACTAACTGTACTCACTTGGCTGTTCAGACCACATTCACATTCCAAAAGATCCGACCTGTATCTGATTTTAAACCACATACAAATATGGCCCAGATCTGATTTGGCCCGTTTACACAGTCATGAAAACGGCTCACCTGAGTCACTTCAGGGCAAATTGGATTTGGGCCAAAATTCTCTGCAATGTGAAGGTAGCCAATGTAACATTCATACACAACCCTTCAAACAGACACTTTAAAATGCTATAAAGGGTATTTGGCATGCATCAAGGGTCCCCAGTGTGGAGTTGAGAGCAGAGGGGTTACCATATATGATTAAAAGTTGTCAATGACACTATAAAGTTCTGCCAAAAACTGCCTTTCCCACCACTGCTCTGTGTTTCTGTATTCAGACAGTTTCTTGTGTTGAAATGATCTTTCCCTTATTTTATTCATGCATTTTAGATTCAGCACCTGCTGTAACAAAAACAGTCAGGTACAGGTCACATTTTAAAGGTAATAGGAAAGACTACACAGAAGAATCAGATTCCTTTAAAATATCATATTTGAGCATTAAGACCTGCAGGCCCCAACAACACAGGTCATAAAAAGATGTTTTTTTTCTTTTAGGTTGTGCATTCACAAGGGTCTAGTTTTTTTGCTTGTCTTGAAAGGAAACTTTAAAAAAAAAATGAATTATTGAAGCTGAATAAGACAAAATGCAATTCTCCCCCCTCCCCCCATCACTCTTTGAGGCTATACTGCTGTGCTTTTGCTGCACATCCTTGGTGGCCTTTTTTCCAGCACTTTTGGTGTGGTTCTCTCTCTGAGCTACCAAAGGGCCTGGCACACACACTGCTCGGTCTTTAGTGATGCTGCTTGTAGACACATTCTTTCAAACGAATGACATCGTGATTCCAGTGATTACTGTTCACTCATACAACTGGTTTGACATTTTACCAGCATAACACATGGTGGGCAACAAAGCTCCACTTCTATTACTTCACTGTGTCATCAAATAGAAGGAACGTCTATCTGCTGCTTGCTGGTTTGAAATTAGCATTGATGTTACAGAACGAGTCACCCAGCGGTGCAAACCTGCCTGGGTTGACCAGCTCCTTCAGGGATGCACCCAGTTCAGGGAGTCCAGGAGGTACGGCTGGATGATGGTTGTTATGTTTGTACTTTCATCTGACCAGGAACTGATACTGTTGTCCTCCTTTGTGGGAGAATCGCTTGGAAAACTGGTGTAAAGTGAGGCTGCGTTCTGGAGTTTAGACAGGAGCAGCTGAAGATCAGAGCTAGAATCCTCCTGAACTCGCCTCTAAATAAGGATAACGCACAATAATTTATGTCTTTTTATGGGCCAAGCCTTTGTCCATAATTTTTAAAATATCTTTAGATAAACTGATTTTAAACGGCAACTCCCATATGGGTGTCTGTGAATTCAAATTTAATTGAATAAATGTATCGGTATTATAACTGTTATATTTAAATTTTTTGAAAAGACCTGCCTTCTCCACTTTAAAAAAAAAAAAAAATCCACAAGCATGACCCTGTACCTGCTCTTGTGAGGGAATGCCTAGCACAGCGTGCAAGAGTGTGCGCAAGCCAAATTCTCCTCGTGCACGCTCTGTTTAAAAGTCACCATGTCAGATTCGACACGGGTTAGTGAAAATGGGGATGAGAACGTAGGACGGCCTTACATAAACATCACCAGAATGATTTACAATTAAGAGGACCACTTATTTTGATGATCCACCTGGAAAAAGAACATCCTTCACTATACCTTTGACGTCACTTTTTTGAGAATAATATTGCAGGAAAAAAAGGTTTTATTTAAAAACTAAATTTGATGCAAATGTGGTTATTGTGTAGAACTTCACATGAAAAGAGCAGAATTCGTTCTAGTAGAAGAAAAAACAATTTAACGTAGATTGCATCCACTTTGTCTGTCTCTCTAGACATCCAACCTGCAAAGCCTGTTAAGCATCATTTTTCGTTTTTTTCATAGGTGCTTTAGCAGTGAGGTCAGCCAGGGTTTTCTGTGTGGGTGATGTTAGATTTACAAGCCTAAGTATGAAGCTTCTTGTTTGCAGAGGTGTTTGTCTGGAGAGGGATGAGAGGCATGCTAGAGAAAAGAAAAGGGATGGAGAGACTAGTACCGCTTTGAAATATTGCAGCCCGGAAGAATGTTCATGCACTGCTCACTGTTCACTATTTTTATTTGAGTATTTTTAACAGGTGAATGTTGAATAATAGAATGATCCAAGAGGCTTTCTCTTTATATGTCAATCAATACCAACCACAACTGTGTATTTTTATCTGTACTTTTGTCTTTCTTAGGTAGAAGCGACTCTACTGCAGATGAGGGAACATGTTGGCTATGGACCAAGGAGTGGTGGAGGAATGGCTGTCAGAATTTAAGGTAGGACTTTAGTGTGAGGTAGCCTTATGAAACATCATTCGCCCATCATTTGTATACGAGACGTTTCTGCTCCTCATTCCTACAGTTGGAATTTATTTCACTTACTTTAAAGTGTGTAAACACAAATCTGTATATCTAATCATCTCATGATTGACTGGACATGTGAGAATACATGTCAGGCACATGCTTTTAGAGATTAAATGAATATTTGAAAAAGAAGCAAGCTAGCACCAGCCATTGATGCCTGCTAACTCCTAAACATTTAACTAGAACAGCTGGAGCAAATAAGTATCTGTATTGAACATTTAGTAATGTGTGTGTAAAGACAAAAATGGGGTAAAGTGCTGCAAATTGGCCTTAAAGCAAAGGGCTAAACACAAAAACACAGTCATAAGTTGTAGTGATGATGTCTCCGACTGATAAGAGAGATAGAAATGAAGATGGGTTCTTTTTATTATGCAACACTGCAAGGTTTTGCTGCCTCATGTTGTGGTTGAGCTGAACTTTAAATAATTAGAATGAAAGAATTAAACTACAGGACTTTTCTTTTTTTAATATCTTGCAAAAGGACTGTGTTGTGGTGAGCCACAGCAGCTGGGCATATTTTTCAAAGTTAAATAACTAAGTTTGATCATAATTTAACAATTTCAGGGTCAATAAAAAAAAAATGGCAAAAGATGGAATTCACAACAATAAAAGTGGAAAAGTTAAATTTGGAAAACATTAAGCAGATATTTTCAGTATCAGATGTTAAATATGTAGTTTCAGTTATTTTACAATGCTTAGCACTCTGTGTCTTTGCTTATGAGGATATTAAGAGTATTCAGTGTTCAAAATGCAAACAAAGCAGAGTAAAGCCTTTTCACTCAGTTAACAATTGTAATGGTAGGACAGAACAGGATAACTTTACAGTTATTAAACAGAGATTTTGCAAAATTGACCAAATCGATTTTAGAAAAGTATTTTTCCTTTTTTAGACATTTGTTGACTTATGAGAAATTAATGTTTGCTATTTATAACCTACCAATGACATCTGTAATAATCTGTTGCTTCAGCCGCTCGCACATATTTTAGATTTAGGAACTATTCACACACAGCACAAGTGCATCTCACCAAACAGGAAGAACAACATGGTAAGAGTCTAAAACCACATTTTGTTTTAACACAAACACTGATACAGGTACTTTTTTTTTGTAAAAATGGCCTCTTAAGCATATATTACTAAAACTACTTTTTATGAGTTTAGATCCAGCTGTTTGAAATATAGTGCTATGATGGTACTATAGTGGGCACTATTAATACCCCAAAGGACTGATTGGATTAGATTATTTTACTGTTTTATAGTGTCTGGAATTAATGCATTTCATGACAACAATATGTTTCACCCGAATGAATATTCTCTGCAACTGATGCAAATTCTCCCCCTGACCATTTTCCAACTAAAGAGCATTGTAGGAAGCACCGCCCACAGCAGATTTTGTTCTAGCCAAACTCTGTATATTGTTGCCTGCTGAAGATCACTATCATATTTGGTCTGTCTAGAAGAGTGTTTCTAGCCTTGTCTTCACACGTAACTCAATGACTTCTCTGTCTGCTGGTCCAAAGTTGTCTTTTCTTACATTCCTAAACACAAAGGGACACAGTTTAATTTTGTGTTGCTTGTTGCTTTTAGGGGTGCCGAACATGGAAGCTACAGATCTATTGCCCTTGTGTTACTTTAGCTGAAGCAGATAAGCAAGGTACACTTTTAAAGGTGTAGGGATATATATAAAATGTTTTAAGTAAATTTTGGTAATTGGCTGTAGCTGCAGCATCCTTATCAGATATTGATTTCTGACCAAACTTTTCAGAGCTGTGCAGCCTTATTTTTCTCATTTTACTTGATATCCACAATTCCAAAATGTAAACATTTAATAACTAATATATTTAATATAAATACAATGATATCCAGTTGTTTTTAGCATTTAGTAGAAGTTTTTATTTTTGTTTTAAAATGACGTGGTGATGAATATTCCTATCCACCTCATAGGAGCTCTACAGTCGCCTACAATTCTGACAAGTTGACAGACCATATAGGCACACGTACCTTAACAAAACTCATTATTTCTTCATGTATACTCTCTGTGTAATACATGCAAATTTATGTGCCTTCATATGCTTTTCGGTGTTATATTGAAGAGATTCAGCTGTTGGCTACATTTGGGTAATTTATTTGTAGTTCTTATGAAGGCTGTAGTTGCGGTTCTCACTCTAATCATCCACGTGTGTTTACATTAATGACGCCATTTATGTTGAACTGGATTCAGCACAGCAGTTCGAGGTTCCTTTCTTGCGATGGTGTTCTTACTGTTGACCCTGCAATAGGAGATGGAAAAGGAGCTAGGAGCTACAATTTGACTGAGTCAGATGGACCTAAAGAGAAATTGGTGTCTGAGTTGTCACATATACCATTAAGGGAAGTCGTGGATTTCTTTTTCATGTTGTGACATTATTCTGCAGCCTCGAGATTAAATTATTTCAAGGCTTCATACCCATCTCAATATGTAAATATGTGGGTAAATGTGTGCGGTTGAGTAACTACATTGCAGCAAACCTCAGTTGTTGTTTTTTTTCTTTTTTAGACCCTCCCTGACAGTGCTATCTCCACCTACGCCGTTTCACTTAAAGACAAAGCCTCTCTGATACCTGCTCTCTACAAAGTCATACGAGAAAACTACAGCGACGTATGTACACACTTTTACCCATATTAATCCTCTCTGTCACTGCTGTAAAATAAGCTAGAAATACTAAATAATCAGACGTGTTATCGTGTATCTGGTATTTTTATAGCTAAAGTTTGTCAAACTTGCTTGCATTCCCTTTAAGCTGCTATGATTGTGTTTTCACCATTTCTATTCATTTTTGGTCATATTTTTCACCCCCCCACAGCTGCTGGAGCCAGTTTGTCACCAGTTGTTTGAGTTCTACCGGAGCGGTGTGCCACAGCTGCAGCGTTTCACACTGCAGTTCCTGCCAGAGCTTCTGTGGAGCCTCTTGTCTGTCAGCGCTGCCAGAGACCCCCACACGTCCGGCTGTATTGAGGCACTGCTACTGGGCATTTACAACCTGGTAGGAGACAGAATGGTCCATAAGAAGGAGCTGCTCTTGTTGATATTGATAATATGAGATGCTTGCAACTTTCTAGAACTTTATAGCGGTTTACTTTAAAAATGTTGTTGGCATTAAATGCTTGAAACATTCAGTGTTTTTTTTTTTTTCCTCTTCATTTAGGTGTTCTTTGAAAGCTAAACATTGAGAGTGACAGGAAGTAAGGGTGACAGAGGAACTGAAACATGATTACTTTGCGCCTTATAAACACCCTTAATCTTCTCAGGGTGCTATAACGCCCTTTTAATTATTAAAATGAATTTCCATTTTCATTCTCTTTGGCCCCTAATGCTCTATCAGCAAAGTGCAGTGTCTCCTCGCTTCCTCTCTGAATACCAGAATAGGTCAGCTGTCAGTCAGCACACTGACTGGCTCCTAATAATCTGCTTGACATTCACAGGCACACAGGGGACATTAAAACCCCTGGGGTTTTTGCATGTGTGTTCAAACAAATAAGTATTCACACTCCAACAGGGTACAGCGTGTGGGGAAACAGATCCCCAAGGTCTACATCCTAACATACACATATAACAAATGGCTGGCTCGAAATGGATCAAAAGTTCGACATAAGAGAAAAGAGAGCTGTCTTTATTTCTCACAGAGCAATAATATGTTTCCTTTCTTTGTCTTTCCTAGGAAATCGTTGATAAAGATGGGCAAAGTAAAATATTATCTTTCACCGTCCCTTCCCTCTCTAAACCCTCGGTGTATCATGAGGTATGGCTTACTATAAAAACTTGCAAAAAATCCTTGATGTCACTTTCCTTTAATTTAGTGAGTTAATCCGCTTCATGTTGCTTGTAGCCATCAGCCATCGGCTCCATAGCTCTTACAGAAGGAGCTTTAGCCAATCACGGGCTGAGCAGGGTGGTGTACAGCGGTCCCCTCCTCCAGAGAGAAAATTTTACAGCTCAAAACAGGTAGGTCTATTGGTATATTTATTCTTTTTACCTTCCCATTCAACTGACATAGGAAATGGCTGATTAGTGGTAGCTTTAAATTTAGCTTTCCTGGTAGAATGATGCAGACCAGCAATAAATGGCAGTGAACGTCAGCCAGCAGCTTAAATTACTACACCCACAAAGGATGCTGTACGATAAGGCAAAGAGCTTGGAAAGTTGTTTTTTTTTAAATGTTTTATTGTCAGTCATGTATTATCAATCTAAATGTTAGACTCTCTCAGTTATGTAGCTGAATTTGTATTGTGTTGAGGTGAATAGTGTTGAGATACTGTCACAACAAATTAATTAAAGATGCACTTGACTCATTGGTTGCCTATGGTGATTGTCTTTTTCTTTTTATCTAAAGTTGCTTTAAGGGTTTCTTAAATTAATGCAACTTAAAACAAACTATTAGTCATGTTTGCCTACAGGAAATGTTCCAAGTCTTTACCAGGTGTTCCCCCCCCCCCCCTTTCTCTAATTTTTTGCTTTCAACCAATTTAATGTGACTTATAGGCAAACAAAGGATGAAATAAATCCTTTATAGATTTGTGGGCATTCATTTATTATAAAATATATATTTTTTTTCTTTCCACCCTGAAGAGAAACACTTTTAAGCAAAGCCACCTTTACTTGACTGGGTTCTGGTTATTTTATGACGCTGCCGTATTACACCATTGCTGAACACTGAGCAAAGTCAGAGACCTTTCGAGACTTAGAATATAAGCTTGCTTTCTAATCTGCACAGGTTGCTCTGCAGAAATGATCTAAAAAATAGACTATTCTTAAAATAAGTCGTTTGCCCTTATTCTGGCAGGAAAATTAGATGATTTGCCAATTAGTATTTTTGCCCTTAAAGTCCATACCTTAATCCAAAGTAGGACTCTTTGGCAAAATCAAAAAGAGCTGATCACAGTGGATATCCGGCCAGTCTGCCAGACATCGAGCTGCCTTACATAAAATAATTGGCATGAATTTAATCTTAAGATGTGTGAAGCTGAATGTAAGCTAAGCTATAGTTAAAGGAAAGGGTGTTTGACTCTGGAGAGTTGAATGCCTCTTTACCTCTAGAAACTTTTCATGTCAAAAACACGTGCTACTGTAGGTGCTATTGATCTATTATGTTCAGTCCCAATAAAGTGGATTAAAGTGTGCGGTTTTACATTAATAACATTGAAAAAAAAGAAAAGCTAGGACATTTTTGCAAGGCATTATGTGTCGTTTTATTAACTAGCAAATGTTTGGAAGTATAGTTGAAAATGTCTGCTGTAATGCCTTCAGTATTTTAGTGGGTCATCTCCCAGTGTCATTGAATGTAATGTGCTGTTTGTTTCCTTAATGAGATTTGAGGTGCTGACCTTCCTGCTGCTGTGCTACAACGCAGCTCTTAGCTACATGACCCCCACCTCCCTGCAGTCTCTCTGTCAGCTTAGTTCCAGGTAAGACAGAGACACATAACACACACACAGGCTCTTAAATTAATTTACTTTGTTTTCTTCACTTAAAAAATTACGCAAAGAAAAGCCCCTAATTATCTTGCTTTAACATCATAGTTTATGTCACATATCTAAATGCTACTTTGCAGTGCAGTTGCTGCTCTGATCCTCTTATAGCATTTGCTTCCAGTGAGATCCAAGGTACCACATCATGGCTTCAAGCCGCCATGTGAACAGTGATTTCTGTAATCTGCCATCTGCAGGTGATCACTGGTCTGATGAGGAGTCATCAGCTTGGATTTCCCCTTTATAGTTTGCTATACTATTGGACAGTTGTGCACAACGGGCCTTTGTTTTCTCCTAAAATTTGTGTCATAGCCATTTGCAAATCGTTGATTATTTATAGTACAATTTTCATAAAAGTTTTTATAGAGCTCAATATTGTGTTTTATGAATGTTTATATTCAGCAGATGTGGTTTCATATTAGCTCACCATTAGGGAAGTAAGCTGTCACAAAGTACCTATAATCAAGTGGCCCCTATGGAGCCTTTGTTTTGCTTCCCATGCTGCATGCCGCTTCATTGTGTTTGTTTTAACTGCTTTTCCTCTCCAGGGTGAGCATATGTGGTTACCCACGGCAACAGATGAGACGCTATAAAGGCATTAGCACACGACTGACGGTCACATCAGAGTTCTTGGTTCAGCTCATTACAGGGATCCACTACGCCTTGTGAGTATTTAACATATGAGCCGGATCACACAGGTTAGCCACGACCTAGGTGTCATGTTTAAGAGGTTTCAGTTCCTTATTTTTCATCGGATTGTTTCATGTTTCATTGAAGTAATAAATCACCCTTAATGTGGTATTTCATGGTTGGTTGGATTTGTTTTTTTTTCTGTTGTAACTTCAGCTTTTGTTCTCTTTTCAGCAATTTGATACAGACCTGTGGGAAATTTAAGACCTATTACTTTTATAGTTGTGCACTAACAGTAACTAACAGTAACAGGTCTTCTATACATTATAAAGTAATAACTTAAGAATCTTGTACAATACTGTGTGCAGCCACATGTGATGCCACGTCTACACTGTTATTAGTAAATCTGCTTTAGACTGAAGCAACAGTTTTCGATCTATGGAAACCCAGCTGATTCTATCATGTCATCAGATTTTTATCTTCTCCTGCATCAGCATGTACAATAAACGTTTACTTGTAGTGTGTCATTGACTCTGCAGCAATCCCTTACCCTGATCATGCAGGCAGGAACAGTTGAGAGGGAAAATTCATTTTCAAAAGGAAAAAGACTACAGCAGAACCAGGTTCAGGGTGACCGGCCTTCTGCTGAGGCCGACTGGGGTTTTCAGAAAACGGAAGCAGACGCACAAAAAGAACATAGAAGCATTGGTCCATAAATACTCGCTATGTCAGAAACTGCATTTATATTCCTTTATGTTTGGGCTTTTTCAGTGTGTAGATTATGTTTCTAAGCTTAGCACCTATTTACTCTATTTCCTAATTTGTTTTCTTTAATCTTTAATATTATACTGATAATTATTTTTCTATAAAGTTTAAAGATAGCTTAACTGTTTGAAATGATACCTGTCTTAGTGTCTTAGCTCTCAGAATAATTTCTGTTGTAATGAAACATAACTAAATGAGCAATCATTCTCTGGGACTATTAAAGTATGTCTGATTCTGAGATGGCTTGGTGGAGGTTGCTAGTTTGGGTCACAAATTGTATTCATTTTGGTTAAATTCACATTAGATTTCAAACATGGCTCCTTTAACTAAAATAACGTAAAGTTCCAGCCATTTTATTTATTATTTTTTTTATGGGAAAAATATCAGCTCTTTAAACCGGCAGTTCATAAAAAGCTAAACTTTTAGGCTGCGTTTAGACTGTACTGAAGATGATAAATGAGTTTCACTGAACTCTTTTAAAAGGACATTTCTATGCATTTTTGTTTTCATTGGAGGAATTTCTAAAAATATATTTTCTGATGTGCTGATAATGTGCTTGCTTGTTTCTGCTTTTGACTAGGTGTAACGGTGAAGTCGATCTGGGATCCAAAGCACTCGATGATGTCCTCTATCGAGCCCAGCTGGAGTTGTTCCCTGAGGCCCTGTTGGTGGGTGCATCCATCTATCCTATAACTTAAACATCTCCTTTCTGTATTGTTGTCAGAAATATGTGTCAAAGAAAGTGTGATAAAGAGGCATGTGCTGGCTTCAGGCTTGATTCGTTCATGGCATTGCATGCTGCATCCAGTCTCTGTGTGTCAGCAACTGTGAGCACAGTGTAATCCCACTAGATTATTTACATGCTTTCCCTTCCGCTCAGTTAAGCTGTAATCCTTAAGGCCCAGAGACTAGAGGATTGAATCTAGTAAGCTCACAGTATCACCACACCAAGTCAAGGTGCACAGTCAAAACACATTTCGATGCACATTTATTAAAAGGGAGTTTGTCTGAAACTAAATGAAAAGTCTTTAAACATTTTCCACATATATGCCCCTCTTCTTGGTGAATGAAAAAAAGATAGCTTTGTACATTGATATGGCCTACTTACAACCTACGATGTGACCCTCAAGCTTAGCAGAACACCATGACGTGTTTTCCATGAAACCATTTTGCTGCAATGCTGCACACAAAAGCCATGTTGTTCTGATGCTAATACTCCTTACAGCAATTGTTACGTGATTATTTAGGAATTGCAACAGAAGAATTTATTATACAAGGAGTTTGGACACCTAAAACCCTTTTCTTACTTTTTTTATTGCATCAGATGTGGCTGGTTGTATCATTTTGGAAATAGGATGGGTGTTTCTGATCCATAAAAAAAAAAAAAACTATTGCTGCTCTGTTGCTCATTAACTAAAATAGTATTTGAAATTTTGCTGAGGGCAAACTATAAATTAAAATGAGTTGTTTGGTGCATTCATTAGTGCCTGAACCGCACTCTTATATTTTCACGGTACATTAAGTCAGGTTAATTTGATAACATCAGATCTGGCCTGTAGTTTCATTAGTGTCACTTGGAAAGAGATTGTTCTCTTCAGGTTTGCATTCAGTATGTAAACAAAAATCAATTCATTTTTTAAATTAGATTCACTTAAAATGAATGCTCATCTTATAAAAAATAAAAAACAAATACTAAAACATTGTAGATAGTAATACAATATATAGTATTAAACTTAATAACTTCATGCCTATACTATAAATATGGCTAAAATATCAAATACTTGTGATTACTTACAAAAAATAAAGATGATGAATAACTAATTTAAAAGTTGACTAATTGTCAATGGGATTTAGACAAAAAAAAAAAATAAATTGACTGACAAAAACAACCAACCACGAGCTGTATTTAAGCCCGAACTGTAACAAAATTTCTCTAGCACATTTTGCCCTCTGAGTATTATTCCATTTATCTAAAAAAACAGATACATTTGGAAAGTTCCTTTTTTTATTTTCCAAAAGGATTTATATCAACTTTTTTTGTTATTAACAGGCCACGTTCTAAACATTGATTCAAGATATCTGTACCTATAGCAATTATTATTATTATTAATAAATATATATATATATATATATATATATATATATATATATATATATATATATATATATATATATATAGATATAGATATAGATATAGATATAGATATAGACATAGATAGATTTTTTTTTTTTTTTTTTTTTTTTTAGTATATTGTTTCAGATGATCAAAATATGTATAGATTGAGTTCCTTACATTTTTTTGGTCAGAACACTTTCAGGCGTTACATGCAGAAGTGACTTCATATGGCTTTCATTGATGTATTGCTTATTTCGAACATCATATTTAAAAGACGGTTAATAAAAATTGTATTATTATTATATTATATTATAATGCGAGTTGCGATATATGTGTCAATCCACGTTTTTTGTGATTTGATGTAGCCCATTTTCCCCCATTGTTTTAGAAAAACTGAAAGATCAATATATTTGGCAGCGGAAAATCACGATATATCGCCAAATAGTTTTCCTTTTTTTTTTCTTTACTCCTAGTCATAAAGCCTGTTTCCAGCTCAACTCAATGGTCTGTGCTGAAGTTGGCATAGCATCAGCGCAGCAAGGGTTTTTTTGTGTACCGTATTTTCACGACTATAAGGCGCACTTAAACGTCTTTTTTTTCCCTCAAAATGTGCGGTGCGCCCTATGGTGCGGTGCGCCCTATGTGTGTTGTAACTGCGACTTTTGAGACCACCTCATTGAGGAGATGATGAAAGAGTGGCTGAATGTAAGGAGACCAGGTGTTTTTTTTCCACTCATCACCATTAATCTGTGACTCCATGCGTGCCCATCTCACAGCTGATGTGAAAAACATGGGGAAACAAATTAACGCTGTGCTCGCTGTTCAACCGCTCGACATCGGTGTGAACCGGACCCAGCAGGTGCAGCAGAAGCAGCGAGTTTACATGCAAAGTCAATGGTTGACGCGCATATAGGTGCAGCAAAAGGTCCCGCAGCGCGTTTTGGTGCAGCACGTCGGGAGCGTTTAAGCATCTGACGCACCGCCAACGCGCTGCTGCTGCTCAGATGGAAAAATTGAAGTTTTGCTGCTGGACGCGCCGCATCAACCAATCAGAGAAGCTGATCTGGGAGCTGGCTGGGAGACAGAAAGCGCTCTGATGACATATGATATTAACGCAAATGAAAAGGCTGGGTGGATGCGTGGCTGAGACAGGTGTATGTGAGAAGACTAGGTGGTTTTTTCCACGCATCACCATCGCTGCGTGCCCATCTCACAGCCGATGTGAAAAAAAAGATGAATCAAATTAACGCTGTGCTCGCCGTTATCCCGGGGGTCTGACAAAGGAACTTCCACCGCTCAACATCGGTGTGAAGCGGCCGTTCACAGTAAGGCTGCGAGCGGCGTGGGAGCGATGGATGACAGACGGAGACCACAGTTTCAGGATAAATGGAAGGCAGCGCCGGGCAAGTTACGCCACCGTTTGCGGATGGATTGTAGATGGACTGTGTCTGCTGGCTCTGTTGTTCAAGCTTTCGCAAAAGCCGGCATTATTTCTGAGGAGCTGCGTTGCACGGAAAGTGACTCTGACAGCGAAGATGGGAAACTGGCATGTCTGATTTAGCGCAGCTGTTTAACTCAGAGGAATGCTGAGGATAACAGAGGATGATGACTTTGATGGGTTTGATTAATACTTTGTAATAAATACATGAATAAAGCACAATCATACTCAGTTTTGCTCCCGCTGTATTTTTCTCCCTGAAAGCTTAATTCAATGGCAGACTCTGAGCGCGTCTCCTCCTCTTCACCGCGGTGGCTGGCAGGTGTTTTTTCATCTAAATAATCTAAATCTTGCAGCTATATTTGCTGTGATCAGTGGGAATAAATAAGTATAAATATGTTTTTAAGTGAGAAAGGCCACCTGAAAACTTAATAATTGCAGTCAGTTCATCCAGATTATCTATTTCTGTCGGAGGCGCTCAGACCCCCACATACCAGCGGTGCACCGACAGGAGAAATCCTTTTGTTCACCGCGGCTGCTGGCAGGTGTTTTTCATCTAAATAATTTTAGCTGCAGGCACCAGGATACCGGTAATAAAAGCGAACATATTCCGTCGGCAGGTTTCAGGATTTTAAGTTAATTTAGGAGTAATCACAGCGCTGTGTCATCTGCCATGTGTCTGTCTCACGGCCAGCTGCCAGGTTTGATTAATACTTTGTAATAAATACATGAATAAAGCACAGTCATACTCAGTTTTGCCCCCGCTGTATTTTTAAATACGCAGTAGAGGTATTTAAAGGTAGTAGAGGACATGTACCTGTATATAAAAAACGCACCCTATAGTCCGGTGCGCCTTATGTGTGTGTTAAATACAGAAATGGGACACATAACTGAGAGTGCGCCTTTTAGTACGGTGCGCCTTATGGTCGTGAAAATACGGTACATGTTTTTCTGAAATGTGTTGGTTTAAAAAAACAACAACAAAATAAAAAAAAACAGTCTAAATCCTTCTACACTTTCCACATTTTTTTGGCAGAAAACTTTCTTTCTACTGTTAGATGTGTGTCTGCTTGTGTTTGTTTGTCAAAATCATACTTAAGGGCATTGAACAGAGTTTAATATAGAAAAAGGTTGGAGTGTAATGTTTATTAATCTGTTTTGTGTTGGCAGTCATTAATTTAGTTTTTAGAGTGGCTGATTTAAAAAAAAAAAAAAAAAAAAAGACTTGAAAAGGATAGAAGGAACAATTCCTAGAAAGCAAAGGACTCAAAGCATCCAGAGATGATGTCACTCTGTCATCTCCCAGAGTGTAATCCTGTGCTTTTCTTAATCTGCAGGTGGGTAATGCCATCAAGTCTTCACTACACAGTGCTGCACTGAAAAGCAATATTAGAGAGGGTGGTCGAAGTATCCAGGTGGAAATCACGCCCACAGCCTCCAGGATCTCCCGCAATGCTGTCACCTCTCTCTCTATACGGGGGCACAGGTGGAAGAGACACGGTAAGATGCACACACAGAAAAAAAGGAAAACCTCAGGTGAAGAAGGAAATGACACAAGAAAAAAAAAAATCGGCTGGACTTTTTCTTGTATTTTCTCATCTGTTGTTAAAAACAAGAAATAAATCTTTTAAATCATTTCACACAAAGGAGAGAGAACAAAATTTCACCATTCACTGACCCATTTCATTGATGGTCTCCATCTTCGCCAAATGTTGTCGTCATTTCATCCTTTTAATATATTATCTAGCAGCTTTATAGGTTTTAAGAGCCACTCTCGTGTGTTTTTGTTTGGAAAGTTTCAGCTCCATCTGCTCATTACAGTAAATGATGAGTTTAAGGTAGATTTAGGAGAGATTGTTTCTCTCTTCCTAGAACAGGGCCATCAGGTAAATTACAGCCTTCTGCTGGCTCAGTGAGGCGGGTTTTATCTTGTGCCTCTGACCCTTGCCTTCTGCCTCTAACAGGAATGTGCAGCTTATTTATGCCGAAAGCTTTTAGTCATGAGCAGATGATGGAAGAAAAGTTGATTGCATATAAATTAATGTGTGGGCATACTGCAAACTCCAGAGTTTGTGCAACCTGCTTCATCTTCACATTGCATGTACTTAGTTATGCTTTGAACAGTAGTTTTTAAGAAATATATAAACTTTCTGTTATAGTTATTATGTTTTGTGTTTCTGTGGTTGTGTGTCTTTGCACATAATTATTTTTTTGTGTTTGTTTTTATATCTGTGCATGAAATGCATCTTTCCATCTCTGTGGTGTGTGTATGTATTGTCCCTCCACCCGTCCATGCTCCCCCCGTCATCAGAGACCCAGGAGGTGAGTGTAGATGGTGACCCCACACTGGGGGGCGTGGCCGTCCCCGAGATCAATGTGACTGGAGTGAGCGGCGAGCGAATGGCCAATGGAGACTCCCTGCGGCCACGCCCCGACGGACGCACACACCTTGACAACGACGCATTGGGTGCCTCTTCCGAGGTCAGCATGGACCCCCGAAGTCATGACTCTGGAAGTCGGAGTCAGGAGGTCAGAAGGCAGAAGTCTGTGAGGCGAATGGTGGAGAATGAGGGTTCTGGGTCGGCCTCCGCTGGGAGGAGCCAATACTGAGACCCACCCTTCCCTCTCCCCTGCCCCACTCCAGGGGTAACCTAGGTAACCGTGTGGGGGGCGTGGTCTAAAAAAGCTGCATGATGACTTTCCCCTTAACCTTTGGCGCTGGGCTCCACCACCCTCTCTTCGCTTAAACATGTTCTCCTCTCATCTGTCAATCAATATCAATCGTCAGTTCATTTATTCACTCTCTCCTGTGTGCTTTTAGCTTCATCATTAAGACCAACCTCTAACACAATCCTTATGTCCAGTCAGATTTATATATGTAAATTAACTTTTTAGTCTAGTTTCTGATCAAACCACGGAAATTAATTTAAAGTAAGTTCTTTTTTTTATTGGAGGAAAAGTATTTATATTGTGGAACAACTCTACATTAACGTATCACAACTATTTATTAGTATACATTTTTTTATTCTAATGGACAGACCAACTCAAAGCAGCTTTTAATTGTGATTTTTATTTCTTTTATTTTTTATTTAAGGAAGATGAGTGATTAAAAAGAAATCAAATGAAAATCATGGACATGCCTTTGCATTTAACCCTAACACTTGCTTAATATCCCAAAACGTCAGCTACTTGATAAATAGTCCATCCATTTAGTGAATGAGTCAACGAAGACGATTGGCCAATGATGATACTGGAGGAGCTTTACAGATGATCCTCCAGCTCAGGAGGAAGAATCTGTTCACAACATAACTATTAATGTTGCACAACTGAAGATGGCTGTTATGGAGGTGCCGAAGGACGGCAATTTGCAATTTTACACAAAACATGTAAAGAACGTGCAGACTAAGGTGCTCTGGTTAGATGAGACCTAAATTTGTAATTTTACGATAAGTTAGTTGTAAAATTAACACCAAATATCACCCTAAAAATAACATCCGTACAGTGAGACACGGTAGTGGCAGCATCATGGTTTGAAGAGAAACTGGTCATTGCAGATGCATGACTATAGTTTTCACTGATTGTCTGCTGCTCTGAGTGATTGTTGCATAAAACAGTGTGGGAAAATTAATACTTCAGCATGTCCTGTTGTCAATAGATGTTTTATTTGCAAAATTCTTTCAGTTATACGATACTTGACCTCTAGAGAAGTTCTAGAAACCTGACTCTGCAGCTCAGGAGAACTGTTGTTTTTTTACTAGGGCAAAAGTATTCAGAAGATCAAAACACCTCAGCACGTTGATCCTGGGTTGCAACTGGAAACATTGTTTTTGCTTCTGACTGATAGATAGGAGCCAACAAAAGATACGCAGGTCCTGGACTTCAATTTATATAAAGAATCTAACTCTTAACTTGCTTTGAGCAGGTTGAATCTGGAAGGCATAAACAGGACCTTCCTATCCTTCTGTTTCCTCACCAGTGTATTGCTGTCCTGATAGGATTAGCTCTGATCCGTATTTGTGAATATGCTGGTTGGCCCCTCACATAATTCTGTTTTTTGTATGCTCTTACAAAAGGGGAAAGGGTTAAATTATTTAAGTATTTTGAGGTAAAGGAGAGAACCAACTGGTTATTGCAAATTTGTGCTATTTGTTTGCTTTCATCTGCTTTCCCTTTGTGATTTTTCCAATGCTTATGCTTTTAAAAACGCTTAACTTTTTTTTTTCCTTTGGGACAAAATATGCTCTCCTTTAAAACTAGATTTCTACAACTTATCACATATCTGCTCCTTCTCCTGATGTGTGCTGGACTATCACTTAAAATCTTTTGCTTGGTGGGAGATGTTCCTTTCAACTTGATGCTACAGTGTAAAGGCGCCACCTGCTGGATGGCAGTTAACCTCATCTGATATTCAGCAAGTTTTGTGTTTTAAAAAAAATATATATTTTAATAAAAAATATTCTATTCTTAAGGAACTCTGGATTGGATTAAATGAGCTGAATAACAGATTAGGTTTTTCAGCTTTCATTCAGCTCCTGTTTTTAATCGCAGTGTTTTTTTTCCCTCTGTCTGCCTCACAGACGCAGTGGATCTGGGTTCCCCGGATGAGCTGATGGATATATCTGAAGTAGATGAAGGGGTTTGGCCGGGAGCAGTGGGGCCTGACATGACCCCGCCCACCATCACTATCAGCAATAGCACCACCACGCTGAACCTTGGAGTTAAGGCCATGAAGAAGTGTTGGCTCGGCGGGCGCAGCAGCAAGGACAAGGAGTCCGGGCCTCTGACAACGGGTCGGGCGGCAAACGAGAATGCAGAGCTGTCTGTCAAGCGGCTAACCCTCACTTCCAGCCAGTCGGTGCCCAGAGCGGGCGCTCTCACCAGCCTGACACGCACTGCCAGCGCCGTCTTCTCTCGCTCCTTTGAGCACGTGGCCAGCGGTAACCCTGTTCCCACCAGCAACCACACAGCCTCCGAGGCAGGCCGATACTCTTGCAGCCTGCAGGAGGATGGGATGGGGTACTTGAGTCCCACGCCAAACCACACCCAGCGCTCCCCAAGCATTAGCATTCACCTCGGCTCTGACCTTTGAACCCTTTAAGACTCTTTTTATTCATATGAACCCTCATCTCTGATCCTGTGATCTTGTGACCCTGTTCCTGTGATCTGGAACTCCAAGCCATGCCGACTGCATTTAACTACAAAAGTGTGAAGAAACACTCCCCGTTTTCCTGCATCACTCCATTTTTAGGCGTTTCTGATTCTCTGTGCTGTAAACCGGCTTGTGTTCTTGCTTCATTCAAACATCCAGAGCAGCTCAGTGAATGATGCAGGGAGGGCATCGGGTACACCACTTTCAGGTTCCTTATTTTTACTTTGTTTTTTAATAATGTATTCGGGGTAACGTCAAGGAAGGACATCAGTCTACCATCATAAATAGATGCACTTAAAATGATCACTAAAACAAAAAACGGTTTAAAAAGTTATTACACCTGATTTGTTGCTCAGTTTTCCTTCATGCTCTTCTTATGTCTGTATGTATGATTATGCATGTTTTTTTTTGTTTTGTTTTTTTAGAAAAAAGGCTGCTGATTGCTACTTTGAGCAAAGCTTAATTATCTTAGGGGGAAAAATTGTCTCTACTACTTTTATAATACCAGTTAATTCATTCTCATAGCAATACGAATCGCTTCTGTTCAGTATTGTCTTTTTTTTATGCTTCTGTGCTAAACACTCCAACCTCTGTCCGCATTGGGCAGCAATTTTAAACGTGCTTTTGAAAAGTTTTTGATTCTTCCTGAACTGCATTAAAAACAAGCCACTCGAATAATCAACCAGTATGCATAGAATCGGATCTTCTGTTTACAATCACACAGTATTCTCACCGCGATGGAGAAGCAATACTTTCCTTCCACCTCGCTCCTTTAGCACCTTCCTTTATATGCCGGCTCGTTAACGGCAACACCTCTTAAAGATGATGATTTACATTTTTTTGGGGTGATGGGTATGAATGATTGAGTATAAAATTTTGCACAAAGGACAGCTAATCAGTTGTTAGGAACTTTGGTATTTTCATACGAAAAAGAGGTTTTGACTCTTTCACTGTATTTTTCCAAAGAGGGACATTGTTTTTTTGCTCCATAAAGACTCTTTCCAAACTTTAAAACACGGACGGCAGCAGGTCTATCAGATACAGTGTTTTCTGATTTCTACCTGAACTTTAAGAGGAGTGGGCACCTGTATGACAGGTAGCCATCTTTTGTGTTCTAACCCACTCATTAAAATGTTTGTTGTACTAAAGTGTTGTAATTCCTGCTCCCCTCTTTTTCAATACTTCATCCCAGTGTCACCAAACATGCTAACAGAAAGAAATTAATAAAACTCAAACCATGTGCTACAATTGATGTCTGAAATCAAGCGACTGTGCTGCCCCACCCTCAAGCAGTCTGTTTACTATAGTTGTTGAGTGTCTATAGCTTGGTGGGACAATACCAATCATGTTTCGTCATATGGGTTTACAGTAAAATGTTAAGCTATCCTTGTACATCATACTGTTATACTAAAGTTGGTTATATTTGCCTTTCTATGTCTGAAAATAACTCACTGCTACTTCTGGAAATAAAGTGTTTCTATATTTAACTTTCTGTGCTCTGAGATGTTTCTCTTCTTCCAGCAGGAGGCATTCTCTGATCATGTCCATGAACCATCTCTAAAGTTAAACACTATCGTTTGCTATCGTTACAATAAAGCCATAGTTACTTTAAAAAACCTCAGCTTTTGTTTTCAGGTGAATTTATTTTTTTTTGTATGTGTACATAATATACACTTAGACTACACATTATGTAACCGGGTTACTAGGAAAATTTTATATTTTAACTTTTAATGTAGCCACACAACTGATTTGGAGGGAGTTTTTATTTGACTTTTATTAAAGCTACATCAGCTAAGATGATTAACATTAGCTACCAAAGACGTATTCTACAGTGGATTGGCTGGAAAAATAACCAATCTAGTTGGATTAACCAATATATTGGGCAGGAACTGACCAAGCCATGGATTATGGATCAACCAATGTAACTGGTTAACCAAACCAATAAAAAGGCCAACTGATTTAGTAATCTGTTTGGCGGGAGTAGAGTGAACCTGGAGAACAATTACAGTATTGTGTGTTTAGTTATGGCGTACAAATTTTGGCATAAACTTTGGTTGTACTATTAGTATTGATTAATATTAAATTAGATGGTATGGAAGTAAATATGTGCCATCAGAATTTGAATAAAAAATACCTCTAAAATTTGAATGTTGTATATTAGTGCTTACTTTTTCAGTATTAATATAAATTCAGAATATATTTTTAACCTAAAAAAAATTCAATGTCATTATTTGTACATTAAAAAAAAAATTCAGTGTAATTTTTTTTTACATGGTTGCAATTTTCAGTTATTAAAAAAATTCACATTCCTATTTCAAAGTGATCAAATTTTCAATATACATATTTTTCAGTTTAAATTTTCAGTGTTAAAAAATTCAGCATATAAAAATTCAACTTTTCAAAATTCAAATGCAATATTTTCGTTGTCCTCCAATTCAACTTGCTCAAATTCACTGTCTCAAATTCAGCGTCTAAAAATTCGCTGTAAAAATGGCCAAGGTTACTTCAGGTCACAGACATTAGCAATGGATGTCCGATTCCAACATCCACCTAATCACGTGACACAACCGTCATATTGAAGAAGTACCAGTATCACCCAGGCTGGCGACCATGGAGGCGAACTCAAACCCAACGGTGAGTTTAATGCTTTCATATTTCTGTAGTATATTTTATTTTGTGCATGAAGTTTGATACATTATCTTAAAGCCTGATTTAAAACACTGGTTTGGGCCGTTGTTAATCTTTCACCGTGTAGTGCCGGCATATTACTTCTCGCTACCTCCGAGCTAACAATACAGTAGCTGATCAGAGTGGGGTCGGAACTGTTCACAGCCCCTCTTTGAAGCACACAAGACAGCCATATTAGCTTACTACATTAGCGGTAGCATCTCCTGAAAAATTACGACTTTACTAAGACTGCCTGGAAAAGTGGTATTTCTTTTTTAAATAAAACGGGGGAAATTGGGTGGGGGGAGGGGGGTAATATGCCGGCACTACACGGTGTAAGATTAACAACGGCCCAAACCAGTGTTTTAAATCAGGCTTTAAGATAATGTATCAAACTTCATACGCAAAATAAAATATACTACAGAAATATGAAAGCATTAAACTCACCGTTGGGTTTGAGTTCGCCTCCATGGTCGCCAGCCTGGGTGATACTGGTACTTCTTCAATATGACGGTTGTGTCACGTGATTAGGTGGATGTTGGAATCGGACATCCATTGCTAATGTCTGTGACCTGAAGTAACCTTGGCCATTTTTACAGCGAATTTTTAGACGCTGAATTTGAGACAGTGAATTTGAGCAAGTTGAATTGGAGGACAACGAAAATATTGCATTTGAATTTTGAAAAGTTGAATTTTTTATATGCTGAATTTTTTAACACTGAAAATTTAAACTGTGAAAAATATGTATATTGAAAATTTGATCACTTTGAAATAGGAATGTGAATTTTTTTAATAACTGAAAATTGCAACCATGTAAAAAAAATTACACTGAATTTTTTTTTAATGTACAAATAACGTTGAATTTTTTTTAGGTTAAAAATATATTCTGAATTTATTTTAATACTGAAAAAGTAAGCACTGATATACAACAATCAAATTTCAGAGGTATTTTTTATTCAAATTCTGATGGCACATATTTACTTTCATAGATGGCACATCAGTAGTGACAGTGGGATTGAATTGATAGTGAACGGAAACCTGCCCAGTGACTTCCTGTAGCTCTGTACATAGATCCATTGACTGATTGCAAGATTGTTCATTATTTTCAGTCAGTTTTCTGGGGGTACTATCATTTTTGTTCAGGCCCATTTCATAAGTTTTTTGTTTTATCCTTTTGAGGCATGGTTGCAAAGCAATGCTGGATTTATATTTGTTCATTTTCATACAGCTTTATTACTATTTTTATCAGATTCAATATATTTCTGTGACCATTGTGGGTTTTTTAACTAAACAAGGGTGCCAACAATTTTTTTCTTTATGTGCATATATGCTGTAACAATGTAACTGATTAATGGAGATATGAGCTATTAAAAAAATAATTTAATTGCTTAATATACTTAAATACATTTGTATTTAAGAAAATAAACACTTCTGGATATTAAACCTCATGCCATTCACTTGCCACAGATTTAGGGCAGTACAGAAACAGCAACTACTTGTGGCAGGGAGTTTTTCCAGCTGATTTTTTTTTTTTAACTCAAAAGTTTAACTTTTAATTCTGAAGACAGATCATGCTTTAAACAGTGTTGAAGCAGTGTTGCCAAGTTCTGTTAACACAAATCTGGTATGAAACTTATGTGCAACTAGGCCTAATTGTCCTAGCAACCAACAATTATTGCGTCACTTTTATTTGACTAGCGCCTGTGTTTTGTTTAATTTTAATTTTAATTTATTCATTTATCTTTCATTATAATTCTGTTATATTCGACATATGTAATTATAGATATCTTTAGATTTCGATTTTTTTTTCTCTATCTGAAATGTATTGCATAAACTAAACATCTGTTAACATCGAAACTTGAAAGAAAATAAAAAAATTATTAAGAAAAGGGTTAGGAGGTATGATTGACTATTTGTTATGCTTTATTATACTGTATTGTTTGAGTTTTTCATTGTTACTGTTCCAAATAAAATTATATATATATAAAAAAAAATTTACCAGGACATGCAGTACCGCCTTTATCCAATAGGCGGCGGTGGCTGGAAGTTTGGGAAGATCAAATTTCCTTTTCTTCTACGTCACTTCCTTTTTCCTGTCCTTGGTCGAAGCATCGTTACCTTCGCTGTCAGGATACACATGGCTAAACTGAGCAAGGAGACCAAACAGCGGCTGCAGCAGCTGTTCCAGTGCAGCCAGTTTGTTATCCGATGGGGGTTCATTCCCACCGTGCTTTATTTAGGTTAGTATTAAAACTAATGAAAGAGGAGGCGCGTGGCTAATATATGCTACTTAGCCTTAGAAGCTAGCCTTTCATTTAAAGCGTCACTGTAAATGTTCCTGTTTCTTCTTTCCTTTTTTATTTAATGTCATGTATTTATGGTGTTTTTGCGGTTTATGCATTTTTATATGCCGACCAAAGCTGTAAAGGACCCCCCAGCAGAATGTCCCCTGTGGGTTAAAGTCTCGCTGTTCTTCCTAAATCGGGGCTAAAAATGAGGAAGTTAAGAGCTTTGCATGGCTGTGTTGTGGAGATTACTTCTCGGGAACTTCAATATTTTGCATGTGTAACCGCAGGTTCACTTTCCATCTGTGAGAGGATCTTCTCTGACTTCAGCATGTCGGAATCACCAGTGCTAACGTCACACTTTCGATTTTTAATCAATTAGGTTCCCAACTATTTTCATTTAGCCAATAAAACTAATTGTTTTGTTGCAGTATTTGAATATAAGTAGTGCGAACACAACTAGGGTTTTAGGAGATTAAAATAACTTTCAGCAAAAATGTTCTTCTCTTTAGGGGCCATCATTGTGCATATTTGTAAGATGTTTTTATGCTCTTAGGGGTAAATATAAAAAAGTACATTGTAAAATGTTCTGTGTAGGGCTGGGTATTTTTGCCAAAGTCCTGAATCGATTTTGATTCATACAGTTCTAAATCGATTCATTTCGATTCGATCTGTTTTTACAATAATGAAAGTGGTTCAACTGCGTTTCAAAATACTCATGTTTTTTATTTTTTCCTGTCAAATTAAACACAAAGTGCAAACTTGTAAATCAGACAACTTGAGAATGTGTACAAAACTGTCTCATAAGCTGCATTATCTCCACTTTTTATTTTTTTTATGAATGATCAAATGTAGAAAGTACTTCCTCCCACACACGTTTCAGATTCTATTTTTTAACAAGGAAATTGACAGCTAATGTGTTTTCCTTTCCAGTTCATACTAAGGCTCTTTTGTTATTTAAGGTTTTAAATTAACAAGATGTGGAGAATTTTTGAGTGTTATAGATGTAGAGATTATTTATAAATCTATTTTAGCGAAATCCTGTGTTTCCTTTATAAAATAGATTGAAAAAGCCAAAATGACTTTATACGTATGTTTTGGAGTTTTCTAACCTCAATACACCAAGAGGGATTTTTATTTGCCGTTTTAAACTTTCAGCACTGTAGACTAGATTATCTTATTCTTCATGAGTTGCACAGAAAGTCTGCGTGATCGGCCACTTTGAGCTATAGGTTTGGAATATGCTGGAAATCCTGCCCATTTAAGATTGAAGAAAATGCAATTTCTCTGATGTCTGTACATTTATATTTTCTCAAAGTTGCATTGTGCACCAACCAAGTTGTTAAAAAGGCTAAGGTCAGGACAGATTAAGCTATTCTGTCTGGATCATGGTGCTCAGGTGACTTGAGGCTGCCAGTAACTGCAGAAACCTTAAACTCAAATCTGCAGCTCTCATACATTTGTGGCCTGCTGGAGGTTACTTTTTCAGGGCTCCTCCTGTTTCTCCTTGCACAAAGGTGGAGGTAGCGGTTCAG